AGTATTGTTTGGCACAGCATGCCACGTAACACTCATTACTCTGCTGGAACAAAATTAAACCAAGAAAATAAGTTTGAAACAGAAATACTGTGTGCTCCAGAATTTACAGTGACCTCAATACTGAAGGAAGTGACCTGTTAGAGCATTTAATGCTGCTACTTGAAAAGGTATGAAATACTTAACTGAGATCTGACTGCCATTCAAAAACAAGGACAGGCTGTAAAAGAACAAATTCATTACCATTTTCAGCTATTTCAAACAAGCAGCATCCTTGGTAAACTAATAGAAAATTTGTTTAAAGCCAAGTCAGGCTGAAGAAGAAACAGAAACTAACCTCATAACTAACAATCAATTCCATCAAGTCTGGAACTGAGAGCATTCTGTAGACAACTATGTGATTGTATATCAAAAATGCATATAAAATGTTCAGTATTCATAAAAATAGAATGAAGTGTCACACAAAAGTTATTGTAACATCAATACCATAAATCAGTAATTTACTCCCATCTAAAGTGTTATATTTGATATTTTCGCTGCCTGCTGTATTAGTGTCTAACAAATTAGACAGTGAATTAGAACAAAAACAAGGCACATAAAATAAAATTAGATGCAGTTGGAAAATAACAGTATTCACAAAGAAAATATTGCAAAGATATTCAATATAATTAGTAGCACTTAGATGGCATAATGGAAAGTCTTTCCTTCCTTTCTGTACAAAATACAATATATTCAACAATTCTAAAGAATAATGGCAAATTTGCAAATGAAGAAGGACACCATCACTGGAAATTCAAAACTCACCCAGAGTTAAAGACTAACTGGATATTTATATAGGGAAAAACAAACAAATACAATTCCCAAAACCCAAACAACCCTGAAGTGGTGGCTGGAAGGAAAGAGGACTTAAAAACAACATCGGTATTTTGGAGAAAAATAAACATGTGAGAAAGCATCTAACCTCACTGCGGATGGATGTCTCTCTTACTCTTCCCTGAGACAGACTAGTGAGTTCACTAAATATTCTTTATTTTGCTAATAAGTGTTAATAACCAGTGGAGTTCAAATCTTGCATGTGGATACCAAGGAAAAAGTTGGTATTTTTTTCTTTCCTTTTTTTTTTTTTAATTTCCCTAGTACTTTTTCATCTGACCTACCCAGCTAACACGGAGCCCAACTGCAAATTTAGAATTCCTCCAAAAGGAGATTTCACATGGAATGTCTTGGATTGGAAGGGACCTTAACGAAAGATCAACCTCCTGCCATGGACAGGGACACATTCCACTAGATCAGGTTTCCCACAGCCCCATCCAGCCTGGTTCTTGAGCACTGCCAGGGATGGGGCATTGACAGCTTCTTTTGGCAACCTGTGCCTGTCTCACTGCCCTCACAGCGAAGAGAGGAAAGGCAGAGATGAAGACATCCTTTGCAAGGTAAAATGCCAACTCACTCCTCCTTGCAATCACACAGGCTGACAAGACTGATGGAACTCCATAAAGTAGAAATAGTAAGAGCCTTGAAGTATAAAGTATCTGAAATTTAAGGAATTTATTTCCATTAAGGATTTGTCCTTCAAGGAATAGTGAAGTAAAAGCTTCAGGGAAGACATAGCAGCAGGTCATCTTTTAGGTACAGACACACTTCTGCATCCAGAAGCTTTATTTTAAGGTCACAGAATCATTAAGGTTGGAGAATCATAGAATCATTAAGGCTGAAGAAGGCCTCCAAGACCAGCGAGCCCACCCTGTGACCAAACATCACCTTGTCAACTAAACCATGACACTCAGTGCCACACCCAGCTGTTTCTTAAACACCCCAGGGACAGTGACTCTACCACTTCCCTGGGCACTCTATTTCAATGCCTGACAACCCTTTCAGTGAAAAAACCTTCCCTGAAATCCCACCTGAACCGCCGCCAATGCAGCTTGAGGACATTTCCTCTTGTTCTGTCACTGGCTTCTGGGGAGAAGAGATCAATCCCCACCTGGCCACAGCCTCCTTTGAGGAAGCTTTAGAGACCAATAATTCCTATATCTGAAAACAGAGTCTAGAATTTAATCTAAATATCTGAGAAGTCATAGTGGAGTTGCTAGACTTACATGTATACTTGCTACCTTTGTCCTTCCAGACATTCTTATTGGCTTAAGAAATCGTATTCTTAATGTTCCTTTTTTTTATTTTTCTGATGTGGAACAAGAGGGAAGGAATTATTAAAGTCTTACCTAAACAAGATTTATTTTTAGCCCAATCATAAAACTGCTCTTAGCTGCTTTACTAGAAAGGCTGTAAAGATGTTCAGAGTCCAACACCATCACCCTGGCTTGCAAGGCCACCTAACCAGCATTGCCCAAAAGCTACCAGGAGTTGTGGGACTGCCTGCACAGCCTCCACTGACCTGACACATTCCAGTAACACATCAAAAAGTCAAAAGTCACCGTTCAAGCACTGTTCACACATTGCCATGTAATACTCAAAGCACACCAGCCCAGCCTTTGTGCCCAAACCAGAGGTGACACGTCTCCCTCTCTTTCCTTGTTCACTCTTCCTGCAAGTTGGCACTCCACATTTATACACAGCTGAAGGCTCCATTCCTTTCACTCTCCTCTGGGTGCTCAAGAGACAGCATCCTTCTTCAGGCTTGGCACATTAATACAGCCCTCATCAGTGACTTCAGTTACTCCACAGCTTAGGTAACTTTTACCAGCAGATGTTTCAGCAGTCAGCCATGAATTCTCAAAATTCTCAATGGCTCTCACACATATTGTGTGATATCAAACAAGGGTAAAAATCACGCACTAGAACTGAGATTAATAAACTGCAATCTGGATCTAGATGTCAGATAGCCAGTGCATGTTTCTTTACTGTTCAGCAAGTGCTCAGGCAGAAGCTAAACAGCTCTTCATTGTGGCCAAAGGTTCTCAATGGATTCATGAGTAACTGAGCTCGGCTGGCAGCCTGCCTGGCAGGGAGATAACCCTGTCCTGTTGAACCAGAGCAGTGACCCCTCCTGCCTGCACACCCAAAGCCACAGAGGGGTTGCGGTGTAACCAGGGGCTGTGCTCTCAACCAGGCCATTCCACCCTGCAGCTGCCTGAACCAGCCTGGAACAATCTGCAGGAGGAACAAGAAACATTCTCGTCAGCAGTAAAACATCAGGATGTCTTCTGGGGCAGGGAAGAATGCCTGAGCTGTAAATTAACCTCCTGCAAGTCATGAAACAACACAGATATAAAGCCATTGACCATGACCGAGACAAGAAGGGTGAAGGACCCTGCTTACAGCCTTGCCCTCCTCTCCAGCTGCAATTCCAGCTGAAACGATTAGCCTCAAGTAACCTGCAACTGGAAACTCACTTCCAGGATTCTCCTGATCACCGGGGACAGTCTGAGGCACACAGACGTCAGTTACTCTGTACCTGTGCACATGAAACACTGCACATCCTTAAATTCTAACCTAGGTGAACTTAGGGGGTGATTTCACCTTGAACCCTAGAAGGAAATGTTACCCTCAACCACCACATTCCCTCTTTACCATCCCCGTGACCTTTACCCAGGAAACAGAGCAAACAGCACCTGGCCACACAGGCGCTACCAGCAAGGGGGAAACTGCTCTTCCAGGAAAACAGGAGGTTCACTCTACAGAGCAAAGGTTTTTATGGCCTGTACAGAGATCATTTCAGAGCGACAGTTCTATTTTCTGCTTACTGCATGTGTAAATAGAAGAGTGTAAATCTTGTGCGCTGTAGAATCGGCAGGTATTACACATTTCAGCTCAAAGATAATGTGAGAATCAAATTACAATCTCTCACTATATGTATGAAATAACTACATAGGCTTAAATCTGAAATGACTTTTATAAAAACCAGAAAAATAGCGTTCATGTAGACATTCCACTATTATATATAGAGAGAAGAAAAAATAAATACACAGAGCCAGAAATGGGATTAAGCTACTTTATCCTACTTAAATATGAATTATACTGGATGGAGACAAATAATTCCTGTCAAGTGACATGAAAATATTCAACAGAAAACTAATTAAAATGATTGAATTTGGGGAAAAAAAGGGGAAAAAAATACCAAATACCACACACCAAAACCCTGAGACAGCCAAATAAATGTTAAAGGAACTAACTTTTGCTAAAAACAAACAGGAAATCTAGTACTGCATCATTACTAAGCATGCATGCAAGTAAATTGGACTGAAGTGACTTAATTGGAACAGACACCTTAAACAAATGTAGAAGTCAGAATACTGATATTATAAGCAATTTTTTCAATTACTTTGAACTTAGAAAGCAAGGTTACTTTCTATCATGACACAAATATTAACTTGTGCGAGCTACCAGAACGTAGCAAATTTCTCTCTCCGCAGACACAGTTTATTAATACAAATTAAAGAGATGCCTATTCAATGGCACTCCGCTTGCTGAAGCTCCAGAATAAACAATATACTTCTTGTAGGATTGCAAATCCAGACAGGAGTCTATTGCTGAGGTTCAGGATAACTCAAAGTCTCCTGCACAAGAGGGCACACACAGTGTGCTTTTTAATCAAGATGTATTTTAAGTTACCAGCCGTGATAAATTCTAATCTGTAATAATAACCTATTCAAAATTCAAGCTAGCAAATAAACTGCAACCACAACGCTTTGCAAATGGTGCCAATCACCTATCAGGTGACAGAAAAGTGTCACAAGTAGGGGCAAGTGTAGCACTGTCACCTCGCTTCTAAGCTGGCATTTTGTGTAACTCAACATGCCTCCAAAGAACAAAAGTAAAAAGAGACTGAGGGGTGTACAAACTCCTGGGGTCAGGGTGATAAATGAAACCACTTCCCCAGTAAGCTTTCCTAATTAAGGCTTCTAAACCAGAGCTGGCTTGCATTCAGTTATTACCACTGTAACAAGTAATCTGAAATATTCTTGATAAAATATTTTTAGCATCGACACCAGCGTATTAAAACCAGTTGAAGGTCATAAGGATGAAACAAATAAAAGTTCACACTCAGGAAAATATCAAATTCATTCCTAAAACAACACAGAACTGTTGTGGAAACTCCCTACTTTAATCAGTTCAAGATTTTTTTATAGATGTCAACTTCATGTATTATAATCTGTGCATTAAAAAAATGAAACAACAGATCCCTCCATTCTTGGATTGCATCTATGGGATTTTACTTATTCGTCCCCACAGGCACACCTGGACTCCTAAAAAGGGTGAGTTTTCTTTTGTTAAAAGACAGAAACATTGCATACATAGTTTTAATCAAATTTATGTCTTCCCTGCCTCCCTGAAGAAATATTTAATTTGCTTAATTAGACAGATGTCACTTTTTATTAAACTTGTATTTGCACTGAATAAATTTAATTTGCATAGCAAAATTTTTATTTTCTAGATCAATTCACGTGCCAGTAAATGACAATTCAGGACTACAAACTAAAGTATTATTAAATCTATTCTCTGAAATATAAATATTTCATACAAGTATTTTTAAGCAGTTAACCACTGAAACTCTTCATTCTGTGTTGGTGTACAAACTTTATTTACTTTTGGCATTTTCTTCTATACTATTCTACACTGATCTCAGAAAAAAAATTCTTAAGAATTCTTTATGTCCCTTACACAGGAATCTGTTCCATGCTTATTATTGCCATATTATACCCAATCTTGAAGTGGAAAAAATTAAACTTAACCATGACATTATACAATGCACATGTGACCCACACTGTTAAGAACTGAACAGACTGCACAGAATTCCAAAAGAACAATGATATTTGAAAAAAAAAAAAAACAAAAAAAAAAAAAAAAAAAAAAAACCCAAAAACAAAAAAGAGAACTATCTAAAAGCACCAGGAATGGCAACACACAAGGTAGCAGGGGCCATGTGTTTTCAAGGGCAGAAGATGCAGCTCTATGCAAACCAGAGCAGACAAACAGGACATCGCTTACAATGTACACTGGCTCACACACACACCAAAATCACTAATTACATCTCAATTAATCTTCTGAATCCTGTGAAATGATTCATGTTTACAACATCTGACCACCTAACCTCAGGTGCTTTGTCAGAGGGAAGGGATTTTCTTTTTCCTCCCCCTGAGAACAACAGGGATAACAAAGTGAAGGATAGAGACTCAAACTTGGACAAGGAAACCTATGACTCAGCATCGTAAGAAAAAGCCAAGGTAAGGCATGATTTGATTTGCAACTAAGCTCTGGGTTGCTACAGCAACTTCATTATTTCAGATGATATTAGAAATACTTTCATTCTTTCTTTCTCTCTCATAATAAAATCTGTTTAAATGCTTTGGAAATCATTCAAATACTTATTTTCTTTGGTAAGAATTAATCATCAGTTTAAAGGCTAAGTCTACAAAGGCCAAGAAGCAACCAGGATTTTTCAAAAATCTGGAACGTAACTACTGAGGGAAAGGCAGCAACATCTGACATTCACTGCCCTAATGATTGAAGATAACAGCATTCAACTTTCAGACAGGTATTCTAATCACAAAGCAAACTTTGCAAAACACGTCATTAAGTAAGCAGTGCACACTTAGAGGTCCAGGATGGAAAACTCAACAGGGTTAGCAAGCCACCAGTATAAAATCCTCATATTACCTCAGGCATTTAGCACACAGGAAAAAATACAGCTTCAAATGAAACATTACAAGCCTTTTTTTTTTCTTTTTGGCAAGGACTGAGCACTGATACATACCTAAGATAGTAATTTTCATAACACTGTTTGCAGACCCGTCAGCTCCAGTCAGCCTTCAAGAGTTCTCATCATTAAGCCTGAAGCATTCATAAGCATTCAAAAGTGAAGCACAGCCATTGAAAAGGACCATGCTTGTGCTCTCCCTATTAGCTGGGAAAAAATTCATTAATGCCTTCTCTCCTGTCTTTCTGCCCAGGGAAAGAAAGGGGAGGGAAGATCAGAGCAGAACACCGCCTACACTGCCATCATTTCCTCCCAACAGGCCAGCCACAGAGAGGAAAAGGACCAAAACTGGTGCCCACATTGGCTTCAGTGCTTCAGACTGGCTTAAGAGAAACAGACCAGAATTAACTTCATTTATCTAATTGATCTGACTTACATGTGACCCTAGCATGACCACATCCACTCAGTGCCATCATTCTCTCACGTGTTTAGCGATAAAGGCAATAAATTTAAATCAAGACATATCAAGAAACCGCAATTATGATATTATATCCCAGGTAATTCCTAAAACCAGAACACAGGTGTTTAAATGATGCATTATTTTAATTAGCTCTCAGCATTTGTCCCTGGCCACACAACTCCTGTGGTGGAGACCACAGCAGCTTTGCAGAGCTAAGTTTACAGACAACCATGTTCTGGGTTTCCTCCCATCTAGAACAAGTTCATCAGCTTGTTCCAAAATAAAATATATCCTTTCAGGAAAATATCCCTACTCGGATTAATTACTTGAAGCAAAGCACAAACAGTTATGGCATGCATGATTTTAATGGAAATGCTTGTAAAATTGGAGCAACTTTATGGATGGGGGATTAAACCCCATGTTTAATTGGGGTAAATTTCTCCTCAGATGTATGAATTAAAAATCTCAGTGCATTAGTGAGATATGAAATTTATTAGAAGAGCATTGACATGTTCCATGACTCCTACTTCAAAGCAACTAAATTATCAGGAATTATTATGTTTTATTTTAAAACTACCTTGAAAATACAAAATTACTTCTGGTCTAAGTGCTTCAGTAAGTTTAATACTTTCCTGTTACCAGCTTCCATACAAGCCAGTCAGAAAACTCACTGTTAGTGCTCTTGGTAACTAAATTGTGTCTCAACAATACACTGTGTTCAAACAATTACCTCGTGTGTTATGCTAATATAAGTAGGTCACATTGTTTCAATTAGATTTGCCTTAAAGCTCTTCCTAATAAATCTACCTTCAAGAGACGCCCTTGCTGTAATTTCTCTAAAAAGTTGTTAATTTGAAACTAAATATTAGGCAACCCAACGCCACTTACATCACAGCATATGTATTTTGTATGATTTTGTTTTGCTGCAAATACACAGAGAAGCCTTTGTCAAAATCCCATCAGTTAAAATGCGTGACTGAAATTCTTCCTGTATTTGGGAGCAGAAGGGGGCTGAGGGGGGTGTCATTTATCACCAAGTTGCTGTGACTTTACTCTCATTGCTGAATGCAACACAAACAATAAAAGGGAAAACTACCACACTCGTTTTACTAAGGGATTTAATTCTAAAAATAAGATAAGATAAATTAAAAATCTGTGGCCCTGCAAGCCTTGTTTCCTTCCCTGTTCACCAAATATACATGTGAGAAATTAAACCTTTACCTCAGCTTATGTTTTCCTCATCACCACAGGATCAAAAACTTCAAAAGTTTGGAAATAATCCAATTACTCCCTACTTACCTTATAAATGAGATATGAAAATGCATGCAAAGAAGTGGTTCTAGGAGTAAATGCTATACAAGTACCTCCATTAGAATATACGAAGAGGTGAGATCTAGCAAGTAAGTGACAATCTATCCTAACTCAACATTTGTTTTCGATTAATTTACATTTAATTGCAGGTGCTCACAAAGTTTAAAAAAGATAACATTGATCTCTTCTCCCTGCAGAACATTTTAATCTGGAATCATAATGTTAGACAGTCACTTAGACAGTAAGTTACTTTTGCTTTGAAATATTATTTACATAATGGTGCACCAGCAAACAGATGCCAGACAGCTTTTCCTAGGGGTGCATGAGACCAGAAAAAAGCAACATCAGGAAGAAGCTGTTGCCTCTCAACTGAGCTGACAAACTTTCACTCTTCAACTTTATACAAATGTAGCAGTAATTACTCACTCAGCCTGACACCAATTCCCACATTGTTCATTCCCACAGCCTACCTGGGGCAGAAGGGAATGAATGTCTTCCTGCAGTGCAATTTCAGGGAATTGCTGAAATCCCAATGTCCCTCCCAACCTTCCAACAGCTTCTCAGAACCAGCCAAAAATGCCTTTTCCACACTGAGCCACCAGTAAAATCAATGCTTAAAATCCATGGCTGAAAAGGGGTTTTGCCTGTAGGGTTGTTTAAAAAACATTACTTAACAGCTGAGTTGATTAGACTGTTCAATCCAATTATTTTGGATGTTTAACCAACCACTTCTCAGATTCCCCCAGTTGTCCCTAACACCACTTCACCATGTTGGTGACTCACTCTTTTTCTCTTCCATTTTCCAAGACTCCTATTGCATCCCCTGTCCCTAACACCTTTTGAATTTAGGAACTGTCTGTAGTATGAAAACTTGTGGTTATACCCAGGCATCTACAAACCAGATTTTTTTTCATAGAAGACTAAGATATTCTGGCCATTCCTAGTGGAATTATTACTTCTTAACCTGTTTTTAATTCTATTTTGGCTTTGTGGAAAATACTGTTTCCTATTTTCACCAGCCCTTGAAAACCAGAACTGTCTTATTACCAGAAAGTACACAACTACTTGCATGCTAATTTTAAATTATAAAAGGGAATAGTTGATGAATATCCTAAAAAAAAAAAAAAAAAGAAATCCAATGAAACAAGACCACCACTTTTCCCACAGCATTTAGATTAAAAAAGCTAAAGACCACCTTATTTCATGGTCACTTTAGCGCACCTTTAAGTTTTCTCACAAACATACAAGGGGAGACAGATTAGTCTTTAATGATGAAAAAGGAAGTATTAAGTATAAAATGAGACACAATTTTTTAACTTCCAAAGGATCACTATACTAAGTTAACATATGGGAACACTAAACTAAGGGATCTGTGTTACTGATGGCCTTTGAAGAGAAGAGAACAGGATTGCACGTAAGATGCCCAATGATTTGTGGACCTGTCTTCCAGCTCTGGGACACCAACTAAAATGGAATAGACACAGGATGTATCAATATGCTAAACAGCTTTTCTGCACAGAGAAACACTCTGAAGCCCTTTGAAGCTCTCTGAACAGTTTTCATTAGGTCTAAGCTCTAAGCTTTTGGCATAGAAAACATAATTCTGTAAGAAGCTCCAATTAGAATCATAATGGCTCTACAAAAAAAAAAAAAAAAAAAACAAACCTTCAAAGGATTTCTCTAAACCAAGAAAACATATCCCCTCAAGCATGACATGTTTGGTACTATAAAAAAATTAGAGCTGGAATACCAAAGACTGTGAAACTACTACCCTCTAACACTAGACTTTAGATACCTCAAATTCTGATTTATTCCCATCTAACATCCTAAAATGTCAAAGCCATTCCCAGGTTACTTGTGTTCCAACAGATTAGTTTTGCCATTTAAGACAGAGAAAAGCACTGCAATTCTACTACAGAAGCTTCCAAGTGTTTGTTCAGCCTAAAGACACACCATAAACCTCACATCATAAGTGATGTGTTATTATAGAAGACTTTTCCTTCTGCATTGCAGGCTAAAAACAGCATAATAATGACCTAGAAGACTACAGAAGATGTTCTCTGGGTTTTAATTCAAAATGTCAGAAGTACACTGCAGGCTTGACCAGATTTCTTTTTAAAAAATTAATTATCAAAAGCATAAGAAACACCAGATCTCCCCAGATTCACTTTTATACCTCATCATATTTCCAAATGCTTGAGCTTGAAAGACTTCTAAATATTTTTTTAACCAATTTAATTACCTAAAGTATGCTATTAATTCTGTAAGGATGCCAAAAAACATTTCAAAGGTGCTTCAATAATCTTAACTGGGATTTGTTTAAATGACGAACAAGTACCACACTGCAGGAACAGCTACTTGTAATAAAATTTCCTCATGATGGCAGCATAAACCATTCTGATGAAGTGCTAAACGACCATGCACGTTCCTACTCATACAAAAGTGAGACCTCAGCTGCTCCAGAAATTGTGTTCACTACCTTTTTTCCCCCTCTTCACACTGCCATTTTTACACTACTTTACAGTCTTCAGATTTAGTCTCCAGAACTCCACAGGAGTATCATTCTACTTCACACATGCAATTTATGAAGAAAGATAAGGTGCTACCCTACGGAGTATTTTGACAAGGGATAGTTTTATGCAGCTTCCCCATACATTCCACTGGATTTTGTACCATTTGTATATTCTGCTTTGGAAAGTCTATGACAACTGCACAGTCTGCACATCTGTGTGAAGCACTAAGTTAATGCTTCAATCACGATCTAGGAGTTCTTCTGAAGAATGACCTTCCATCCAGATCTGTTTGCTTTTAGTGTTTCTACACTACAAAAAGGACAATATCATGACTTGCAAGATGCCATTGCCAGAAGGATTCCGAAAATCTGGCACTTTGTCTTACTGACCCTCCACAGTGCACAACTCACTAAGATTACAGGCAGCTGTATGCTTTTATAAGGCATGAAATTCACTGAGTTAAAAATCTGCATAGATTTCAGCTTATGAACAAATTGCAACAATTAAGCATAGGTTTGAGATTAAAAAGATCATCACCATGCTTGGAAAGACTTTGTTTAAAAGCTATTACTAGTGCAAATCACTCTTTTCAGACTGCGCTGCAAGCGTGGCTTTGCTGATGCTCCAACTTCCAAAATCTCATTGCTTCCCACTTGAAAAGGTCAGCCCCCCTTAGATCAGCCACCACAAGCTGTTCCTCAACTGAGTTCTATGAAAATAATCTGACTTTTTCAAACCATACCGTAGAGTATAAAGGAACCCAGATCCCTGAGACAGCAGCTGATGAAGAGTCAATATAGACAGTTATGTTTAGCTGATCCAAGGGAACAGTAAGCCCCTGGAGGAGAAAAGACTGGCCAGTAAGAATGAGTGATGTCCCCAGTCTCCTGCTCAGTTACAAGTTTCATATCTGTCTACAGCCTTTAAAAGTGCCCTAAGCCCTCACTCATTTCTTAGAATGCCTACATGGAGTTTAAAGACCAGAAGTGTATCTTGATTTCTTTCACCTTCACCTTACTGACTACCTCTGATTAAATATACCTAAAAACCTTACCAATTTCCATCTGCTTAAAGGGAGCAGTCTGGAGACTCCATGAAAATGAAGATAAATTGCCACTCACCTTACTTCTCAACAAACACTGAAAGAATCCATAAGGAGAGCAAAAATGCAAAGAAAATGAAGATAAACTGCCACTCACTTCTGAATCTCAACAAACACTGAAAGAATCCATAAGGAGAGCAAAAATGCAAAAACTGTGAGCCTGGTTTAGACAGAACAGAAGCTAGGAGAAACACAAATAAAACATGTTTCAAACCCATGAGATACAGGATAGATATACTTGTTCTGGCTTGGCATTCCTGGACAGAGCAAACATTGCTGTAACACCCAAGAGCAGCAGCAAAGGTTTTTGGCTGTAGTTAAGCTTTCCCTACCTCTTTTCCTGTCTTGGCAGTTTTATCTGCACTATGGTAAGAAGGGTGGTTAACACTAATTTTCTCAAATCTGACTCAGATTACACTGATTGAAAAGACTGGCCGTATCTTAATTTGAGGGTTTACAATAAGAAGATTAAAACAAACCAGAA